TTAGACAACTTCATCACCAAGGAAAGTATTTGTCCTGCCATTGTAGTTGTCTCCAATCACGAAATAAGAGTATATTTAAATTTCACAGTTGTGTCATCACATCCTGCTGCAGCAACAACAAAAAACAACCTTTCCTTAAAATCGAGATCAAGGCTACTGCAGTTTGCATTTGAGGAGCCACCATATATATATATTGGAAGGAAAAATAATAATGTAGTGTTCTAAAGGTTAATTTTTATTAAAATTTAATTTTAATCATTGCTTTTTAAAACAATAAACATTGCAGAGGAGTGAAGGTAGTTAAAATAATAGCGGTGTCAAAGAAAAAGATGTCCTTTTGACACTCCATTTATGTGTGGGCACAAAGGTTCATGTTTGCCCAACCTTCCTTTCTGAAGCAAGCTGCAGATCAAGAGCAGAAGCACTGTAAAAATGTTTCCCCACTGGCTACCAGATGTTCTCCTGCAGTTGTTAAGAGAAGGCCTGCCTCTCTTGCGTGAACTTCTCTAACCACTGAAGCAGCTGCAACAGATGTGGAAAACCCCTTCTAAATCTTTGTTTTCCAAAGATAAACTACGATGGCTAAAAAGTGCAATTTTTTACAAAGTTGGGGTTCATAGACGCCATCCACAATGGCTCTTTGCAAGTGGAACTGTTTAATATTGCTGAAAATGTCTCCTTAAGAATAAAACTGAGTATAAAGGTCATAAGTGCAAAGAAACAAATCCTCCTTCATTATATCTTGAAAAAAAGACAAGATGGAAATATTAGCTCAAACAAATTTGTGAAGGCTTACCTGAAAAGAGTAAAGACATAATAATGCCTATGCCGGGGCCTGCAGTTTGAAACAATAACAATTCACTGAGGAAATGACCAGTGGACAAAAGAAATGAAAAGACGGTGATGTGATAAAGCCTGGAAAAAAAAAAAAGGACAAAGATGATAATACAATGAAGTTTTAAGCTGTTTCAACAATTTCTTTTTTTTTCTAACTATTCCTAAAGTAATTTTGGTGGAAGAGATTCATACAAGTATGGTCCTTAAAACCTTTAGCACTGTGTGGGTGACTATTTTTGCCAAGCAAAATGTTAGTCCTGCCAGTACAAGTAGAATTTGAATTTCTTGGTTGTGTAGTCATATCCTTCTATAGCAACATTTAAAATAATCTTGACTGAAATTGAGAGCCAGGCTACTGCAATTTCAAATATATAGAACTAATACATAAAACACTACATTTTGAGAAGGTTTCATATACAATAAAAAGGGAAGTAATATTTATAAACTAGTGTACCTGTGTGAAAATTGACGGCAAGAAGGAATGTATTATAAGTAATATGTATTATATTGTAAGTAATTTTCATTTAATCCATGTGCAATTTTGTAATTTAAAATAGTTTGTTGTTAACATTAATAATTGAACAGTGTACAATTTATAAACACCTTAGGAAAGATATCCATATTTTATCCTCATAAATGAGACATATTTACAACCAAAATTTTTTTTTTACTGCAAAAGTTCCGAAAGCACAATATTTTTTCGTGTAAACTTTGGAAGGCCTGAGTAATCCTTGATAGTTTGTAGTTTCAATCTGTAATTTCAGAGTCTGGAAATGAAGGGAATTGTTACACACACACACACCAAAAAAAAAAAACAGAATTTAGTTCTTACTGTGAACTGTGTGCCGTTGTTTGGGGTGGTCTCTTTGTAGTTTGTCAGTGTGGTAGCTTTTTGCATGTGGATGTGAATGGAGTCTTGACTTCTGTGCATTTCATGTCAAAATTTTGCACACAAAAAAAAAAATATATATATATATATATATATATATATATATATATATATATATGTGTGTGTGTGTGCATGTGTGGCATATTATATATAGATGATACAGTGCTAACTGTTAACCTGTTTGCCCTTAGGAGATTTCAATTGTTAAATCCCAAGATCCCAGATTGAATTGTGGAAAATCTGAATTTGTGATCTTAGTGCAATTAACTTGATATATCTTAGAAATGGTCGAAAAATCAAGACTTACAATTTGTAAGTCTTGATTGTTTTCTCTTTGAAATGATATCAAATATGGCCTCCTTACTGAGTATGAGACATGATTTTGGAAATTTACAACTTTCAAAAAGGTGGAGATTTCTGGTACCTTTAATTGATCATGTGATGGATGTCAGTCTATCATTTTTCTGCTCAGAAACATTTAACCAATCTAACCAGCAAGTATTGTTTCAGCCATTATATCTCTTATTCCACTGCTCTACATCCGAGACATGCAAATACAATACTTTTAATGTTTAACTCTGTTGGCCACTTAAAAGATTTCAACTGTTAAATACCTGAAGTCCTGAATGAAATGTTGAAACATCTAAATATATATATATATATATATATATATATAATAAATAGGTATATCGAAAAAACCACAAAAAATTAAATATTGATTTTTCTCTAAGAATAAATTTATTTCTCTTTCAAATGATACCAAATTAAGCTTCTTTGGCATTAATGGTCATGAGATATGGTTTTGGAAATCTACAACTTGTAAAGTCATAGATTTCTGGTACTTCTAGTTGATCATATGAATGCTGTGTATCAAAATAACAGTTCTATTTAATTGCAGGCATGTTGAGGCACTCCCCAACAGTATGCATGTGAAACAATGCCAGCAAATTTAGCTGCATCTAAGCCTTCTTTCCCTTTCCTTTCTTTTTTGTGGATGAGTTGAATATTTTTACAAGGCCAAAATTTCTACCCACCCTTCGACCTTCTGCAACATAATTAACCCTGTCAGCCCTTAAGAAATTTCAATGGTTAAGTCCCTAGATTCCTGATTGAATTGTTGAAAAATCTGAATATGTGATGTTACTATGATTAAATTGATATATCTTGAAAACAGTTGAAAATAAAGTCTTACAATCTGATTTCATCTGAGAGTCATGTGACGTGAATGTTGTGTATAGAAATGCAGTGCTATCTGATTGTGGGCACATTCAGGCATTCCCTGACTGTAAGCATGTGAAACAATGCCAGCAAATTTGGCTGCTTCCAGCTTTAAAGGGTTAAGTTCCCTTAAATGCTTTGTGCATTCACTCTAATAGTAGCAGATATCAAGGTTGTAGTTCTGAACTAAAATTTTTGTGCAGCTAAATTTTTCTTTTTCTTTCTTTTCTTTTTTAATTCTGTGTCTTTTCAGGATGTAGATGATCATGACTTTCCCAGATTCTGTTCACTTATTGTTTATTAATTACCGTGATTTCTTGAAAAAGATTGTAGAGTGGTTTCCTATTATCTTCTCTACAGCTTTAACTTCAAAACAGTCCTTTCAGGAAAAACATGCAGTCATTTTCTGTTGCCTTCTTCACAACAATGACATCAGAGTAGTTCTTTTCCTAGATTGGCTGACACCCAAAGCTGACTGACTCATTACTCTTACTACTCCTACTTATTATAGGTGGGAGAGTCCATTAACTATAGAATAGGTGTGTTCCACTATAACAGATAGTTGGCGTGAATGCCCAAGCTAACTCAACTGAATAAAAAAAATGTGTTACTGGCTATAAGTTATGGTTTTGGAAAGCTACATTTTTTCAGAAGTTTTAATTTCCAGCATCTTTGGTTGATCATGTGAAAGGATTTACATAAACAAAATTCCAGTTGATAACTCTGAACTGCATAAGAAATCTTGAATAAGCAGTGTGTCAAAGAGTTAATTAATGAAGCAAGCTCAGCCACATCAGCACGACTGAGACGCCATTGGTCGTGTGGTAGCAGCGGTGGTAGGTGAAGGTTAAAATAGTAATAAAGCACTTCAGGCATAACAGTCTCTGGCAAATCCCAAACTTGCTCTTGGGCATGGTTCTCTTGCCAATACACTTCAGGTGCACCCATTGAAGACAACAGTCACAGAGCACAATCTATGTTCAAGTCTTGTCTACACAGTTCACAAAACCACTGTGCTGACAATCTCAAATATAATATTGATTCTTAGTTCTAAAACACTATATTTACTGGCAAAATAGCCTATTTGTATTTTTTTGTTGCTTCTTTTAACTCATAGTGTACCAACTGTGAAATTTAAGCCCCAAACTCAGACCTAACACACTCTATTGATACATTATTTCTAATAGTCTGTCTTTGTTATAGGATTTGTAGTGGCTCAGAACAAGAAGTTGGCAAGCAAGAGTTATTGGTTTAATAGAGAAGACATGGAGGGGCTCTCTAGCTGTGGATGCTGAAGAAACACAAACAGGCCAGAGTAGATGAGAATCACCCCATATGAGGTTATTTTGCTGGTAAAAATGTTATTATTATGAAGGCAGGTAATGTTCAAAATAACAACACACAGATTTAACACAGAAGTTTATTTATTTTCAATTTAAAATCTTTTCCATAATCAATTGTTAAAACACAAGTTAAAATCATTTATTCATCATCAATTATTAAAAGAAATATAGAAGTCTCTAAATATTTTAAGCACTTCAGGCATAACAGTCTCTGCTAATCCCAAACTTGCCCTTGGGCATGGTTCTCTTGCTAATACACTTCAGGTGTACTTCACTAAAGACAACAGTCACAGAGCACAGAATCCATGTTGTTCATGTCCTGCCTACATAACTCACACAACCACTGCACTGACGATCTCAAATATAATATATCCTTAATTCTAAAACACTATTTATAGTTACCAGCAAAATAGCCTTGTGTCTATTTTACCTGAACCAGCAAAATAGACTTGTCTATTTTTACCTGAACCAGCAAAATAGCCTATTTGAACATTAAAACCCTATTGTATGAGTAGTGATACAAATATTATAGTAAATAGATTAAAATATAAAATCCAACTTTTACTTTCATTTTGTATTTTATTTAAACTGACACTCGTGCTGGATTAAAGTTGCTACTTACATTCTGTTGTTGAAATCTATAGCACAGCAGATTCTCAATAAGGCAGAGACTAAAGTCCACATTCCAAATAGTCGGGCCATGAGTGGGTTCACTAGAAGAGAAAGAAAACAAAAGGGAAAAAGAAAGAAGGCAACAAAGAGAATGAAATGGAAAAAGAAAAGAAAAAAAACAGAGAGAAAAGAGGAAAAGAATGAGAAACTAAACAAATGGAAAAATAAAGAAGACAACAAAATGAAAAAAAAAAAAGAGGAGAAAGAAGAAAGGAAAGAGAGGGTAAACTAGTGAAAAAGAAGAAACAAAACAAAAAGAAAACTAAAGGGAAAAAGAAAGAAAACAACAAAGAGAAAGAGAAAAGGAAGATAAAGAGGAAAAGAAGACAACAAAGAGAAGGTAAACAAGAGAGGAAGAAGACAAAAATAAATAGAAAGAAAAGAAAACAAAGAGAAAATAAAGGAAAAGCAAAGAAATATAAAGAGAAAAAAAACAAGGGAAGAAGACAACAAAGAGAAAACAAAAATGAAAAGAAAGAAGACAACAAAGAGAAAAAAACAAAATAGAAAAAAAGAGAAAAAATAAGAGAAAGAAAACAAAAAGAATAAAGAAAGACGGAAAAGTAGAAAAGACAGAAAAAGAAAACTTTATAAAAGAAAGAAAATAAAAGGAAAAAGAAAACAGAAAAAGAGAATAAAAGGGATAATAAAAGAAGTAAAAAGAGAAAACAAATGAAAGAGGCAAAAAAGAAAAGGAAAACAGAAAAAATAATGGGGAGAAGAATGAAACACAAAGAAAAAGAAAATAACTGGGAAAAAGAAAGAAGTGAAAAAGAAGCAACGAAAAGAAAAACTAGAAGAGAAAGAAAAAGACAAAGAGAGAAACAGAGGAGAAAACTCAGAGATACAAAACAAAAAGTAAAAAGAAAGAAAACAATGGGAAAGAAAAAGAGAAAAAGAGAAAACTAGAACGGAAAGAAAAGAAGAAAAGTAGAAGACAGAAAATAATGAGAAAGATAAAATAATGAAAAAAAGAATGGAGAAAACTAAAAGAGAAAGAAAGAAAACAATGAGAAAGAAGAAAAGAAAGAAGAAAGCCGGGAGAGAAGAAAAAGAGAAAGAAAACATAACAAAAAGGAAAAAGAAAGACAACAAAAAGAGGATGAAACGAAAAGTGAAAAAGAAAGAAAAAAACTGGAATGAAAAGAAAAAAGAAAAGTAGAAGACAAAGAAAATAAAAGAGAAAATGAAAGAAAACAAAAAAAGATAAAAGAAAGGAAAAAAGAAAGAAAACAAAGAGAAAGAAAAAAGAGAAACAGCAAGAAGAAAACTGGGAGAGAAAGAAAACAAAAACTTAACAAAAGGGAAAGAGAATGAAACAAAGTAAGAAGAAAACTAAAAGAGAAAGAAAGAAAACAACAAGAAAGAAAAAGGAGAAAAAGAAAGAAAACAACGAGAAAAAGAAAGAAGAAAGATGGGAGAGAAGAAAAACAAGAGAATACATACAGGGTAAAAAATCATGGATTAATAAGCTCCATAATAGTATTTGGCATTTGCATGATCATGTGTGTGTAAAAACACAACTCTGTGTTTATGCCCAAAGAGGATATAGAATGTATTAATATTGGCTCTGCAAACTGCTGAAACACAGCTTATTTTGAAGATTTGTACAGATTGTCATTGTGTGTAATCACTCTATATGACTTGTATGTTTAATCTTGAGTCAACTGAAATGCATATTCTGGGGGATGTAATTTTATTTTCCATCAGTGTAGAATAAGTTGGGGATCTGCCTTATGTCTAAAATAGCAGCACATTTCACACCAGCACCAGTGGCTGGGGTTCAATCCCATGCAAAATTCAGGATTTTAAATACTGATTTTCAAAGCAAGCCTAACACAATCTTCTTCATGCTGATTTTCTTACATTGACTTTTTTTGAGCAGATGTCAAATTAAACTTAAATAAATGTAGATAAAACAAAAGACCAGAAAAAAACTTTTATGCCATCATGTTTCACTCCTTGAGAAACTTTATCAAGGCAAGTGTAGAAATTTTATTTACTAATCTGTATTTATACACAGAAGTAACATTGAGAAATGTTAAGCATTCAAATTTGGAATTAGATTTTGAACTGATTTGTTTGTTTAATGGCATATCAACTCTTTATGGGTCATTTAATTTTCTTGGGAGCTTTGAAGTAATAAAAATATACTATATGTTAATCTGCTTTCACAATTGAATACATGGTAGATGATAGTCAGCTTTTGTGTATATACAGGGTGCGATGAGTAAATTGTCGCCATTTTAGATTTTTTAATTTTCCACATTGTTTTTGATGACTGCATAAATTTGGAAATGGCATGCTGTACTGCTTGGTATTCGTGCTGGAATCTCCAATACAAACAGTTCCGAGTGTTTGGGTATCAATCTGAGGACAGTGCAGAGGATTCAGAAAGAGCTGGATGAGTCTAATGGTGATTACAAAGATATGGCAGCTTGGAAAACTTGGTTTTGGATTGTTTTGATAAGAAAAGAACCCCCAAATTTCTGGGTGAGGGTCTCAGACTCAACAACGAGGCCTATATCAAGTGCCTTGAGAAGGTAGTGCTGCCCTGTGCCAAGAGGGTGCCTGCTAGAAGACCCTATGTCTCTGCACCATGCCACACAAGCAAGAGAACCCAGTCATGACTGTCAGACAATTTCTGCAACTACATCACCCCTTACATCTGGCCACCTAACTCCCCAGACTGCAACCCCCTTGATTATGTGTGGGGCGCAGTTGAGCAGGAGACTAACTTAAGTCCTTGTAACACCAAAGATGAACTGAAGGCAAGGATTATGGCAGCATTCACCAATTTAAACAAGGAGACTGTCCAGAAGAGTTACAGGAGTTTCCGAAGTCATCTGGAGGCTGTGTTTGAAGTGAATGGTAATTTTATTGAATTAATTTACTGTTTAATATTTCAAGATATTTTTGTGTAATTTTGGTAAATATATCTGTTAAAATGAGATTACAGTGTTATTTTCATTTTTGCGTAATTTAGACAACAATTTATCCATCATACCCTGTACATGTTTGTGTGGACATAATTACTACAGGCAATGATATGTGTGTTTTTTATGTTGTAGTTATGTTATGAAATACTGTTTGATTTAAGAAATTGTAGGATATTATATAGATTAACGTCATGAAAGAGTTCTTTCATGTTGATTGATGTATTGTTGGTAATTTTACTATAAATAGGTACTGCTGGTAATTTTTTTATATATAAAAATGTATTGTTGGTATTTTCACTATAAATTGGTTTGTTTTCTATAAAAATGGATTGCTGGTACTTTAAAATGTATTTTTATACTTTTAATGTTTTGTTTTTGTTTTCATTATTTGCCCATTGTTAAGACCCTAACAGGTGCTACCACCCTGTTAGGGTGGACCTGAGAACAACAGCAATTAAGAGATGGTTCCACACTACTCAAAAGCTCCAATCTATCAATCAGAGGTCTTGCTGCCGGATGTAGTTTATCATCATACCCAGACTAATTATTTAAATTAGAGAAATGCTCTAAAATATTCTAAAAAATAAAAAAAACAAACATATCATCCTCCATAGTTTATCTTTATTTTAGACTAAGTAACATAATTATTTGACATATTAAAAGAGAGTAAATTGTTTTTGTGGTTATCATTGGTGTTTTTTTTTTATGTAGTTATTTATTTATTCACTTTTATATACAGTACAACTCCTTTAAACCGAACATCTGAGATGTTCAGTATTGAGGGTACTGTTCAGATTCAAGGAAGAAAAGGCTGCTGTGGCAAGCTTAAAATATTTATTTTGTTTTAGAGTTTAGCATACAAAAGGTACTTTGTAATATTGATTCATTTTTATTTAAAGTGTAGATTGAATACATAAGTGTACAAAAATTAATTGACAACCAGTAACAATAGTAATGAAAAAAATCCATGCTCAACAAATATTTTAATTTATGAAAATCTAAAACACTTTCTGAAATATTTAAAAATTTATGAAAGTTATAAATTTATCATCCCACACAATTCCAATCTGTAAAGGAAGTCAAAAATAAGGATATACAGTACAACTCCTCTAAACCGAACATCCAAGATGTTTGGTATTGAGGATTCTGTTCTGATTCAATGAAGATGCATGGATAAAGAATGAAGGGATCTTTGACACTACAATGGGAAGCTTTGATGGTGCAGGACCTGTGAAATCATAGGTATATATTTACTACATGAACTAAGCATAATAATAGATAGAAATGATACAGGACTCTACATGAACATTGGTCTCATACTCTTAAGAATCTATAACAAACAAAACACTGGTAAAACTAGAAAAGCAATAATAAAGATTTTCAAAAATAACAGATTAGACACACATAAAAACTAAATGAAGTAGATTTTCTAGATGTTACCTTCAACCTAAGAAAAGCTACATATAAACCATACAGAAAACCCAATAATAAACCACTCTATATATAAACATCTTCCAATCATCCACCTTCTATAATCAGATACCAAAATTGATTAACTGCAAGCTTTCCAACAATTCTTCCAATGAAACCATATTTAATGAAGCTAACAAAGACTACGAAACATCCCTAAAAAATAGTGTATTCCCGGCAACACTCACATGCTCACCACAGAGCACAAAAAAGCCAACAGGAATAGAAACATCATATGGTTCAACCCACTATATGTACGTATGTAAAAACAAACGTAGGAAAAATATTCTTCAAACTCTTACACAAACTCTTGCACTTTACACAAAATATTCAACAAAAACACAGTAAAAATCAGCCACAGTTGCAGCGAGAACATAGCACAAATAATAAAAAAGCACAAGAGGAAAACTATCAACAAACCACCTGAACAAATTAAACCCACATGTAACTGCAGAATAAAGAATGAATGTCCCTTAAATGGTAATTGCTTACAAAAGAACGTAATATACCAAGCCATGGTAAAATAACCAGATAATGAAGATATACATAGGAGTAACTGAAGGACCCTGAAAACAAAGAAACTATGCAAACAAAACATCTTTCACAAATAGTAAATATGCGAACAGCACGATGCTTTCTAAGTATAACTGGGAAATTAAAAACAAAACACAAATCACACCAAAAATATCATGGAAAATAAGGAAAAGATCATCAACCTACTGCAATCAATCCAAAACCTGCTAACTTTGCTTGGAGGATAAATAGCTATCATTACCTTCCCAGACCAAAATAAACTACTAAATAAATGATCTGAACTCATCTCAAAATGCAAACATGAAAACAAATTTTTACTATGTTACTTAAAAATCAAAAGCGGAAAAAAATAAATAAAAATAAATAAAATAATAATAATAATAAGCAAGTAAAATAAATTAACCCAAGCAAATAATAAAAAAATTAACAAACCACTCCCATTAGAATAGATGAAAAAGAATAAAAATAAATAAGAAAAAACAAGTAAAAATAATCAATCCAAATAAATAAATAAAGTAAATAATAAACAAATTAACAAACCAATCCCTCCAAAATAACTGTTAGAATAGACTACAACAATCAATACAAAAATTGGACTAAAAAATAGCCATAACTGCTATATAAATGATCAAAAAAAATTTTTATTACGTTACTTAAAAATAGAAAACCGAAAAAATAAATAAAAATATACAAAAAAAATAAATAAATAAGAAAAAACAAGTAAAATAAATTAATCTAAATAAATAAACAAATTAACAAACTGTTCCCGCTAAAATAACTGTTAGAATAAATAAAAATAAATAAGCAAAAATAAGTAAAATTAATCAATCCAAATAAATAAATAAAATAATAAACAAATTGAAAAATTGCTCCCACCAAAATAAGTTACAATAGACTACAGCAATCAATCCAAAAATTGGACGAAAAAATAGCTTTAATTACCTTCCAGACCAAAACAAACTATTAAATAAACGATCTAAACTCATCTCAAAAATTTATTACTACGTTACTAAAACATCGAAAAATGAAAATAGATTATAAAATAAAAATAAATAAAAATGCAATGTCAATTGCTACCTACTGTCATCCTGATTACTTTCTTCTCTTTCTGCACATTATTGATGTTTCTGCTCCTAAGTCTTTCACACCCAGTAACCACTTGTGTCTTAGTGGCTATATATATATATATATATATATATATATTATAAAATGGATTAAGTCTGACAATTATTTAATATATTTTCTATTTATACATTATTTTAAAAGATACAATTTATTTAAGTAAATGCTCTGTTTTTTTTAATTAAACAGTATTAATTACATTTGCCACTTTGAATGTTTGAGAAATTTTGCAGAAAATATACGTTCTCCAACAGGCTGGTAAATGTAAATAATACTGTTTAATTAAATAAATTGTATCTAAAGTACGGCTCTTGAGTAGATAGGTTCATTCAGGAAAAACCATCAAAGATTTGTTGTTTACAAACATTAATTTGGACCT